CATTTTTAGTGTTGTCGTAATGTTGTTTTATATTTTTACCATCATTATATCCATGACCGAAAACTCAAAGTCCGGTTTTGATTAAATTTTGCCCGCACTGGGAAACATTCCTGGCTCCGCCCCTGCAACTAGCGGTGAGGACTCAGGAAAATTGGTGTCAAGTGAAACATGCTATTTTGCACAGAGTTCCAATGTTCAGGAATATGAATGGGCTTTTCGACACCAAAATATTAATACATCAAGATGTGAACTTTTTTCCTTTTCCTCTTCCTTTTGGTAAATAATCAGCATGTGCCTTCAAGCTTATTCAGAAATTACCGCTCTCTTCTTTTCTTTTCTTTCTTTTTTTCCCCGGATTTCTTTCCAAAAATTTGTGATTATTCTTTGAGGAAATACGTGTGAATAGCCCGTAAAAAAGACCATAATTCAAGTTTGGCCTTTGACCAAGAAATAGCATTAAAAAAAAATCAAAACCTCATTTTAAACACCTAAAAGGCAAAAATACCCCTCATTGAAAAAGAAGAAAAATCTTCATAGACTAAAAACGTGAAAACCCGTCTCCAACAATTCCCAAAAACCGACCACTTTGAAAGACGAATCTGGCGACCACACCGACAAACAATCGTTGCCGGCGCCGACAACCACAAAGAGAAAGGTTAGTTTTTTTTCCTTTAACAACCGCTTTTTTTTTCATATAATGTGTTTCAATTATTTTCACATTTTTTGAGTTTATTGAATCATATATGCGTAAATTTGCTTGAGTGTTAGTCTTATGGGTGAAATTTTCGTATTTTAAAGTGTGTTTGGCTCATTTTTTAACGTTACTTCGTCGGAGGCTCATTTTTTAGCTTTACTTCGCCATTTCCGGCAAAATAGCCAACTGCAAACAGCCGGTTCAGCCGGTCAAACCAGCTATTGGCTTTTAATAATCGGTCTAGAAACCGGCTCTTAAAAGCCGGTTCTCATGTAATATGGCCTGGCCGGCTGTCAGTCGGGCCGATTAAAATTAATATAATTAAATATTTTACACATTTCATTGAAATTAATATAATTAAATAAATAATTGAATATTAAATAAATATTTATATAATTAAATATTTTACGTACTTGAATAAATCGAATATGAAATAGATATTTATAAAATTAAATATTTTACGTAATGGAATAAAAATTATATAATTAAATAATCAATTTTACTTTGATAATTAATAATATAATTAAATAAATAATTGTAATTATTAAATATTAGATTTTAATGAATTAGCAACTTCTTATTTTTTCCTTTAAATTTTATTAATAATTGAATAAATCGAATATGAAATAGATGTTTATAGAATTAAATATTTTACGTAATTGAATAAAAATTATATAATTAAATAATCAATTTTAATTTGATAATTAATACTATAACTAGATAAATAATTGTAATTATTAATATCATATTTTAACAAATTAGCAACTTCTTATTTTTTCCTTTAAATTTTATTAATAATTGAATAAATCGAATATGAAATAGATGTTTATAGAATTAAATATTTTACGTAATTGAATAAAAATTATATAATTAAATAATCAATTTTAATTTGATAATTAATACTATAACTAGATAAATAATTGTAATTATTAATATCATATTTTAACAAATTAGCAACTTCTTATTTTTTCCTTTAAATTTTATTAATAATTGAATAAATCGAATATGAAATAGATGTTTATAGAATTAAATATTTTACGTAATTGAATAAAAATTATATAATTAAATAATCAATTTTAATTTGATAATTAATACTATAACTAGATAAATAATTGTAATTATTAATATCATATTTTAACAAATTAGCAACTTCTTATTTTTTCCTTTAAATTTTATTAATAATTGAATAAATCGAATATGAAATAGATGTTTATAGAATTAAATATTTTACGTAATTGAATAAAAATTATATAATTAAATAATCAATTTTAATTTGATAATTAATACTATAACTAGATAAATAATTGTAATTATTAATATCATATTTTAACAAATTAGCAACTTCTTATTTTTTCCTTTAAATTTTATTAATAATTGAATAAATCGAATATGAAATAGATATTTATAGAATTAATTATTTTATGTAATTGAATAAAAATTATATAATTAAATAATTAATTTTAATTTGATAATTAATAATATAATTAAAAAATAATTGTAATTATTAAATATTACATTTAAACAAATTAGCAACTTCTTATTTTTTCTTTTAAATTTTATTAATAATTGAATAAATCGAATATGAAATAGATATTTATCGAATTAAATATTTTACGTAATTGAATAAAAATTATATAATTAAATAGTTTACGTAATTGAATAATATTTACTTAATTACATATTTTACGTAATGACATAAAATTTATTTTTCATAAATATTTTATGTAATTGAATAAAATTTATATAATTAAATAAATAAACATGGGTAATTTAATAAATTGAATATTAAATAAATATTTATATAATTAAATATTTCACGTAATTTAATAAAATTTATTTAAATAATTAAATATTTTAATGAAAGAAATAATGTTAATGTGAATTACAAAAATTAAATATTATATTCTAACAAATTAGCAAATTCTTTTCTTCCTTTAAATTTTTTAATTTAAAATTCTGTTAATGAAATATTCTTTCTAACAGAATTAGCAAATTCTTTTTTCCTTTTATTTTTTAAATTTAATTATTTTTTTATTGTGTAGTTGTTACAACTCGATTCACTTAATTTTCTGAGATTATGCTGTATTTTCATCATTATTCGATGTTGAGTTTTATCCCGTGCTATGGCTTTGCTTCCTTCACTTGTCATTGCCCGATTGATCCAACCTTGCCCGAGCCTGCCTGCCTCCTTCGGTTGTTTTGTTTTCTTTTAAGGGAGCGCTCAATCCGAGACTTTTATATATCAATGGAGAGAGCAGATTCAAAAAGAAAGCGATTCATTAGTTTTATAGTATGTAATCTTGTAAAAGAGGGTTTCACCTCAACTGGACTCTAATTAACCAACCTAGCAATAAGCTCAATTCTTTCACCCCACAAGATGGTGGCTTGTTTGAGCAGACTTGCTTGTTTGAGTTTAATGGGTTCTGATACATTAAAATTTCGACGATCCATCTTAAAAGTTCAATCTTATTAAGAGGAGTTGTTCAAAGTTTTATAAATTGGCCCATTTTTTCATCTTTATTCAATGTGAACTTTTATCCCTTAACACTTTCAACCATAATTACATCTCTTAACTACTTGTTAACAACCTCCAATTACTCTCATAAAGTAGGCAATTCTCCGATTATTTTAAAGTATGGACCATTCCAAAATACAAATTTAGCAAAATTGAACCGTACAGTCGGACATATAACACTGATTAACATACCCAAAATTTAAACATAAACTTAACAATTGATCGACGAAAATTATGTTTGTTTCACAACCTAACTCATTATAATTACATAAAATCTAGCCGTTGCAAAAGCAAAGTAACTGCAAAGTATTTTTTTAATGGTAAAGGTATCGAAACTAAAGTTGAAACGGTCGATTCAAAAGTAATTTCTCAACGTATAGAAGCCATTTTATTCGAGGCCTTTTAGAAAAACTGATCGAATTTTCACATCTTAAATTTGACTAGAAAATAACGGTAAAGAAATTAAGAAACTGAGCTACAAAACAAAATATAACTTGCTTAAGTATTTACGTCTAATAATCAAATATTCTGATTAGTTGATAATATTAGTATTAGTTGGGAAGTTTGTGAAATATTCCTGGGAAAAGTTTCTTTAACGCATAATCCGTGTGGAGTAGACCTTGTTGTCGTCAGAATTATTAGTACGAATATATCAATTAAACTCGTATCATAATTACAAAGTTAAAAACTTTAGAAGTGGGACAAGATACGAGACAGGTCATTGGAAGAAATCTTCAAGAAAAATTGCATAGCAAAATTTTGATGAAAAATAATAAGACCAGACCATCGGCTGCAGCAAGTTCTTAAGTGTTTCGCATCCTTTTTTTTTTGAAATAAGCTCCTGTTTGGAGCACATTTTCTACCTCATGAAAATGAAAAAAATGACCATTGCACAAGTAGCTGGGCCCCACCTTAAAGAGAAGAAGTCAAAAAAAGGGGCTGGATTTGATGGCAAACGGTCATATTTTTCATTTTTCCGGCTATATAATGCGCCTCAAACAAAAGCTAAGTAACTTATTTTAAAAGCAACTCCGACCTTACCATGAAACTACATGTCATAAGAAAAAAACAATATCCAAACATGTTGATGCTTTCATCATTCATGATATGAGATTAGACATATATAGTGCCATATGACATAAATCATCAAACTTGAGATAAGAGGGAATAAATAAATTACATTAACAAAAAGCAATGCAAGTTTTTAAACAAGATACATTACACTGAAATTACAAAGTTCAGCAGCACGAAACGGAGAAACCACAGAATTTTTAGGACGAGCTACTGAAGGAAGTCTATAGTGAGAAGAAGAAATCTGGGAATAACGCCACGCAGAATTGAATAGCATATAAACGAATCCTGCACAGGATCTCTAAACAGAAATCAAAATGCATATAACATCTTCCATCAGTTGGCATATCTGCCGTCCCTGACATCATCCAAAAGCATGATACGATGAACTTTACCTCCAGGCTTCGACCCGTTCTGTTTGTGAATTCAAGAGGCTAGTGATGCTTTTTTCCTTGCTCTTTTCTGAGTTCTCAGGAACATGGACAGCCGATGGCTGAATAACCTTTTTGGCACCATTCTTACTTGGTTTCCCTGTTTTAGTCCTCCGGCTTTTTGATTGGGACAGTCTACTTTTCGCAGAAGTGTTACCGCCTCCAAATCTATCCTTTGTCGAGTCAACACGATTCGTGATATTGCTAGGGCAAGGCATGGTCGCATGTTCCTTTCCATTGGGAAGAATATTCTCGATAGAGCTTAGAAAACAAGGTGTTTCATTGCTAGTACAATTAAATTCTGCCCAAGAAGAGTTTTCTGCATCATTAGATAGTGGTTCATCTGCTACATTAATTTGGTCGCCTTCACTTACCTCAATGGCCTTCCAGATTATTGGTTCCACAGTGCCACGATGATCGTCTTCATCAGCAGGCTCAATTTGTTTCACACGAGCTGCATCTACTACAGAATCTTCTCTTTCTCTCAAGGTTTTCTCTATCAGAGTCTTGAGAAAATTCATTACTTGGACTGCAAACATTAATGCCGTCAAAGGATCTGACATCTGCAGCCAGTAAAAATGTTAGCTATCCTCAAAAGTATTGCAGAAAATTTGTCATCATGGGAAAAAGAGTTTTCTTTCTTTTTGGATTATGCTTATGGGCTTAATTAATTACAAGTGGAGAGTCTATATCTACTCACCTGAGTCATGTTTGGGGCAAATACCATAGCTATATTACGTGCATTCATTTTGTTCAGATGTTCCAACTGAGCAACATCGGCCATCAAATTTATTGCCCAGTCCAATAGCGCAGCCTCTGTAGGCGGGAGTAGCCTAGCAAGATGAGTGCACTCGTCTTCTGATTGAGCCTGCATAACTTGCTCCGGTGAAAGAGGGTCCAACACCCCTTGTGGCAGTTCTCTAAACCAAGCCTAAAGAGCACCAACAGTGATGAGTTGAGCAATATTCATCAGATAAGCTAACAACTAGGAAATGCCATCATAATTCACTAGATGCACACATAAAAGGGGTGTAGATAAGAACAACCAGTAGAATAAAAGGCAGAACTAATTGTGTTGGGCAGAATGTCCTTTAAATCTATTGAATTATCTTTGGAATTCCTAAATGTAAAGAACTTTTGATGGAAAAAATGTCACCAAAAGAATTTAATTCGGTCAATCACAGAGCAGTACCTTAATAAGACCAGCTAAACAATGAACATCAATGTTATCAGGCACCTCTCCATTATTTAGCTGTTCCCTAACATACTCTTCCTGGCCATTCTCCGCATTTATTCTAAAGATTCCTTCCGACTGCAAATTCAAATGGATTAATGCATTTTCTTTGAATTGGAACAGTATAGTCAGAGAAAGATTTTAACTTCTTAGTCGAATATTTTGTTTCTAAATTAATTTTTCAACCAAAAAAATGTTTTTCGGATTACACGTGTGATGTTACCTGCAGTCCACCTTGGCAGTACAAGCGTCTTTGCATCATTAGAAGTATTGTAGGCACACAATTACCTCTGGAGTCGAAAGAAAGTTGCATAGACTCTGTTGAAACTCCAAAAACTCTTGTACTGTACAAGAATAACATCAGTGCAAGTACAATGTAAACTTGGGCAGCATATATATTATCAGATCAGCCAATCAAAAATCATGAAAATCGAAAAATAATATCATTTTAGGGCCTCAAAGCTTTTCAGATTATACACACCACGCAACGCTATACACTAAAATACATAATGTAAAAATATACTAATTGTTCATTTTGCTTTTGCATAACTCACTTCTAATGGATCATATTTACCAAAAGGAGTACTTGACATTGATATATCTACCTAGATCATGAAATACTTCATCAAATCATCATTAAAAAATGTTAAAAGAAACCGATTTCTTTGAAAAAAAACACGAAATGCTAGTTTTACGACGAACTTTTCATTCTCTGTACCAAAATTGGTGCGGTGTTTTGACAGTGGATCCATTGATCCAATTAACAAATACTTTACCAGAATTTCTATTCATCTTCACAATTTCATCAAAAGAAAAGTTACACAAATAGCTATTTTCCGTTTAACCACCTCTTCCAGAAAAGTTTAAACTTCTGAACGAGACGGTTTAACATAACATCATATTCAAGTGCTTATAACACATTCAATGAAAAATGAATCCGACCCACATCACAATTTGAGGGGGGGGGGGGGGGGGGAAATTGAAAACATTAAACTAACCTTGCACTTGGAGGTCTTCTAGGAACTTCAGGTTCAAACTCAACGGGGAGTCCAAGAAACCCATTGAACCTATCAAAGGTGACATGAGCTACATGTCTAACATTTGTAGGCCAACCAATCTCCATCAGCCGCTTAACTCCGACACTATCCGCCGTCGTACTCCGGCAGCCCACCAAAGATTTCCTAAAAACACTCAGTAAAACTTCTAAAACAGAAAACTGATCCACATCTCCTCCTTGTTGTTCTGCCTCTTGTATACCATTATTTCTCCTGTAAAAAGCTACAGGGCGCCCATTATTAATCAGGGATTCATCGTTAAGAAAAGCCTGTTGGTGAAACCCATCATTGTTCGTGGGCAATACACGTGTAATGGAGCTTGAAGTTGAAGACAAACGCAATATGTCTGTCATTTTCTCTTGAATTGTCAATAGTGCGTGTTGTGTGTGTTTCAAGATTGGAGGGAAAATGGCAAAGTTTGGTGGGATGTTCTTGTTTTTGAGTAAAATTAATTGTAGAAGTAATGATGGGATGGCCGGTTTGGTAGATTGTAGAGTGATGAATATTGAATAGAGAAGAGTAGAAATTTGATATGAATGCTTTGGGACTTCTGCTCAGTAGAGTTTGATTCAAGTAAAGGTATTTTTGGCAGTTGAGACTTGTAAATCATTATTCACTCTTCTTTCTCATGTCTTTATAGGTTCATACACTGCTTATTGTATGTGACATTTAACATTTTATTCTCTTACTCTTTTATCAATAAGTCGTTGGTACGTCTCATTAGAGAATACTATAGATACGAATGATAAAATATCTTACTTTTGCCCCTCGCTGTGTTGTCCCTATCCGTTGGAGAATAGGGGTCGTGTCAAGAACATCCTAACTCATATTTATTTTATGTTTAAAATTTATATCGTATTTAACATAAATATATAGGTAAGCCCTTGGTTAAAAGTATATTAAATATTTTTATTTTGTAATATTGTCAATTTTGCACTTGATCAATCAAGAATGTGAACTATTCTATTCGAATTAATCAAGTTGTACAAACTTTGTTTACAAACTAAGAACGCGTTTGATAGACATGGAAAATATCTCTGAAAATGTTTTCCTTAAAAAATAAGGAAAATTAGACATATTTTCAAATTTTGAAAAATATTTTCAATGGAAAAAAATAGCAATCAAACACTCGAAGTAGAAATTTAGGTGAAAATTTGACATTTCACATGAAAAATAAATGTAATCAAACACACCCGAAGTGTTGACAAGATCTAGATCATTGATTTCAAAAACTGTTTTTGAAATGATTGGTCTAGATGTTGTCAACACGTAGTTTGTAAACCAAATTTGTCAACCTAATTTGTACACGTAGCGTGATTCATTCTATTCTTATAAACAAAATTGCAGGCTTGGCTCCTATGTAGAGAAAGATCTATAATTAATTAGATTTTAGATTTGATTTCATCATTTGAGCATTGGCTAGTGGAATTTGGAGGGACTCCAATAAAATAATCTACCTTCTAAAGAAAGAAATACTGCTAATAATATTCATAAATTTTCTTTTAGTGACGTAAGAAAAATTAAGTTAAGTTCACCTTTTTTTTTTATATATATAACCGTGAATAAGTTAAGTTCACTCTGCATGCTTCAAAATTTTAGTATGAGTCGATATGGACGAGATAGACCTATAGTTGACACAAAAGGTTACCTAAAATTTTAGACTCGGCTCGATTTACGGTTTAGCTCACAGTTGAACTTACTGATTATTTGATTTTTTATGATAATAATTTATTTAAATTGACAATTTACAATATCCTAGAAAGGATTATGCAAAACTATTATCACTCTAAAATGACCAAATTTCATTATTTTTAAGTGAAAATCCTGCTATGTAACCTAAAAAGTTTATTCGAATAATGAAATATTTTGTGGTTGTTTCATAAACATTTGAATGCACACGTCAAATCGATCGATGAAAGATTCACAGAGTCGCCATAAATTTGTTGAGAATAAAATTATATTACTATGGTTAATCGTATAATAATTCAAACGTGAATATAACCTTAACATAAGCAGGAAAAAAATAATTTTAATTTAGAAAAGCACATTTATAAGATTTCACGTTGACCAAGAAAGGAAATATATATACAGCTGGTATAAGCAAGGCAGCTACGTATTTATTAGTGAAACTACTTTCATTAAAATATGAGTTCAATAATTGAATTATCTTTTAATTTGGTAATTAATATGTTAAAATATTTAGCCTCTACCCAAGTTGGTTGCTTTCAATAGTCTCATCTAGAGGTAGTAGTGTGCATTACTCAAAAATAATTTCACGATGTACATTTCATTTATAACATATTTGATATGCTCGACTGAATAATATTGAATAATTTCACGTTGTAGAATAATATTGAATAATTTAACGACGAATGTTTTATTTATAGCATGTTTGGCATGCTCGACTGGATAATATTAAATATTAAACATTACTCAAAAATAATTTCACGATGTACATTTCATTTATAACATATTTGATATACTCGACTGAATAATATTGAATAATTTAACGACGAATGTTTTATTTATAGCATGTTTGGTATGCTCGACTGGATAATATTGAAAATATATGAAATCTTAAACATGTCGTAAAATTGTTATTATAAATTTTTCAATTAATATGCTAAAAATAGTAGATAAAACAAGCGGCCTTGGGAGAACAGAATGGCAAATAATTGTACATCGTGCTATAGATAATCAGCAAAAATTCAAGAATATTTGTCACCAATAAACAATTATACTTACAAATATATTACATGAAATTAATTGATTATTGAATGTTGATTTCTCCAAAAAAAAAAAAAAAGTAATTATGGGATGTTTATTGTGGTGAACTCGAGTAACACTAAATGAAAAAAATTAAAAATATTGTCTATTATATTGTTCATCTAACTATTTATATCAAACACATGCTTATCGTTTACAAATATTTTTCGTGCACAAATTTTCAAGAAACGCGATTTCATTCTTGGACGAAATTCACGTAACCTCGTCGAACCAAACCAGCATGGACTTCCATTTGTAAGGACCACAAACATTATTGAAAACGGGCTGTTGCCTATCGTTTGGACAGCTCAAAGCACAGAGGAAACTATAAAAATAAAGAAAGGCAAAAGTGGAGTCGGAGAAGAAAAAAGCAATTCATTTTACGAGAACAAAAGGTAAAGGAACAAACGCTCTCCACATAAAGCCGGAAACGGGCTTCACGGCCGGCAGCTGCCCGTTATGACTTCTTAAAGTAATCACTGTTTCAAATTTGAACTAGCATGGCGGGCTTCTGCTTCAAGCATTGAAATACGGGCATGTGTGGTCAAGTTTTTCATGAAAGTTTTAACAATTTTTGGTAAAAGGTGCATTCTAGTGACTATCGACGAAAGTACACTTTATGATATTTTGGAGAAAAATAAACCCATCGAATCTAAATTCATGTTGAAAATATAAAGAATTTTTACCATTAGAGGATTTTATCTTTAGTTGAGTTCACGTTACACGGAAATTTTGTTAAGTATGCCTAGTAAGAAAAGTTTCTTTAACATATTGAATGTAACTATTTCATGACTTTCATTGCTTTAGAATATTTTAAGCCGACAACCACTAAAAAGAGGTTTTGAAAAAGTGATTTTTTTGGAGAATGTGTGGTTAACAAGTAGGAGATTTTTTTGAATTTACGTGCAGAATATTTTGTTGTAAGAATGTAGTTGAAAATAAGTTTGAGAAAAGTCATTTTATAAAAAGAACTAATATAGATGTACATTACTGGATGACATTTTTGTTAACACTGTGTGAATTGTCAAAATCTATGTCATTGATTGTTTAAAATGTTGTTAAAATCAATGTATAAAAAACTGCAAACTCACTTGAATGTCATCTATGACGTCAAAATTAATATACATGTAACAAAATTGTCATAAAAGGGTTAATCCATTTGTATATAATGGATTATCCCCTCTCACATAATGCGCAGGGTCCACGTGTATTTAAAAATTACAACAATGTGATCCACATCCTCATGGTGAATAGCAGGTAAAAGATTCGGTAAAAAAATGCGGTACATGTAGCATAATCCGTCATAAAAATGGTTGTCAAAGAGGGGCTAAGAACTACATTGACTTTCTTTTATTTTTTTTTTTCCAGTTAACTAAATGAAAATGTAAAGAGAAAAATCATCTATAATCAACAAGAAGAAAAATGAATGAAAATGTAAAACCTAGTGTTAAAGAACACCTTCGAATATGTTGGAATGACCATATCTATGCATTCTGCGTAAACCACTGAAATGAAACGTGCATAGCAAAATCCTGCTGTTAAATTCTTGGATTCGTTACACTACTGTGTTCCTAGGATTTGTTAATTACTGCGTTCCTCCGAAGTTTTTATATTTGACTTCAGAAAATTAAAACTCGGCATTTTTGTAGTGTGATATATAGCTGACGATTCCCTCAAAAGCGCATTCCAATATTAATAAAGTTATTTGTACAAAGTTGAGTTACAAAGTGTATTGGCAAAATCTAGACTGTTGATCTTAAATTATTGAAAAATCTGTTTTTAAAATGATTGGTGTAAATTTTATTTTGTCAACCAATTTTGTACATGTAGCATAACTCAACCTAGGCATACAATACCGTAGGATAATGGATGGAGATATAATTATAAATAAATAACTTGAGTCAAATATCTTCATACAAATATAATAAATATTCAAAACAACATACCTTATTACAAATGAAACACGTGCTAGTACTAATAACAAGTTAGTGCAGAGGCGTAAATATTTTCATCTTATATTTCTCTTTAATATCGAACTTGTTTAATATTAGATTTTTTGAGAATAAGTTTTGTAAAAAATAATTCTTTTGAAAAATGCGTGGCTGATAAGTATGGAATTTTATTTAGAGACATTGTAGTTGACATTAAGTTTGGAGAAGAACGAATTTGAAAATATATATATATATCACTAGTAAACTTCTCAGGCGAATCAGAGTTGCATCCCTTGCAATACACGCTATCCCTCATCCAATGCTCTCATTCAAAAGAACCCGTTTCATTTCGTGAACAAACTCCTGCATTTGCTCCCTCGAATGCAATGGGGATGGATATACACATGCGCAATCCAGTTCCCCGTCTCTTATTGAGTCAAATAGAGCTAGGGATGGGCCTACACCATGAACTGAACCACATCCAATGAAGTCTTCTAAGCCAATTACGTGGTGCAGTTCTTCTGATTGATCAATCATAGAGTCCTCAAACACGGATAATAGTGAAGTCCTGAGTGATGCGGATGGTGTTAAACCTGGGTTATCTATCGCCTTACACATCAAAAAGTTGAGATCGGCCATATCTGAAAAATGCTTGTTCTTCTTCTTGGCATTTGCAAAGGATGTGTACATTCGGGTTGCCAACTCCCACAAATCTTCCCCTCCCTCAATATCATGTGTGTTGAGGATGGCAGAGTGATAAAACCCTGCAATGTCTTGTTTATTAAGGATATCATAACATAACATGATACGTGTCAAGGACTCGAGGCACAATGGCTCCTTAACAAATGTTTCTTAAGAAAAATGCAAGCAGAAAATCCAGTCAACCGGTGGCCAGTTCAACCAGTTCCAAGTTGAACAGTTGTGTTGACAGGGTTTCATCCTGATTTCTAAATACATGGACTTTTAGCTATCAGTTGAACTAACCAGGCCGCGTGGTTTTAGAAATGCTGGATATAATTGTGAATGAATAAGGAACAAGTACGCTGAAAAGAAAGGACACTGGGTCTACCACTTGATCTAATGATCTTGCCTTCTTGCTTTCTAACTGAAGTATACAGATTAAAGAGACATATTTTACGTGGAATTTAAATCAAATGAACTAATAAATCGAACTGCATCAAAATCTCGTCAAAATTAATGTAATCTAAACTACCGTCTATTTTTCAAGAAATTCGTTTGTTTCTAATTTTCCATCATTTTTAATTAGAACACCTTCCATCTTGTTTTTATTCATGTTTATTGTCATCGATTTCTATTGGTATGAGAGCAATACTGTGGGCCTGGAGTGAAGGATTCTGAGATGGTGTTTCATGGGGTTGAATTTCAACTCGTTTTCCCCAACTTTTTTACCTTGAAAACTGAGTCTCTTATGGCTAGCAAGCTATAGAAAATCCAATAAGACTTACCAATATGGTGGCTACTAAGCACTGGATCAAGAATAGACCGGCAGTCCACAAGCGTTGTAACTGCATACTTTTCCCATTGATCATCAGGAATGCCTTTCAAGGAGCGAGCAGCAACTAATCCAGCAGCAGCTAAAAGCCCACATAATTTTATATTTCTAGATTTGCAACTCTACAAAAGTAATGGCATCTCAAATACATTATAAGGAATAATTGAATACTTAATGGTCAGAAATGCACCGAACAGAAGAAATTATAATAAATTTGAAGCTCTTAAAAGGTCGATCCGCGGTTGAGGGAGTTAATTAGAAATATGATTAGGCTCCACATAATGCAATAAACAATCTGTCACTTTCATAATTTTCTCTGCAACACTTACATTTGGTTCAAAATAAAGCAACATACTATGCTTAAGCTAACACATATTGCTTTATATGATTATCGATCAAATGAAAAATTATTTTTTATCAACCATTACATCTACCACTCTCAGGTAATTCGACTCTTATTATCTTGATTAACTCGTTGTCTTTTACCGGTCTCATCTTTTGCTAAATCGACCATTTACGCTACAAAAAAATGTAGAGTTGAGCATGTCTGGGAGCAAATCAAAGCTATTCCTACATCAATTCAAGCATTGGTTCTCCTATCTCAACTCAATTAAAATGGGTCATAGAAAGAAGAGGTTCAAGATCACAATCAATTCCTTTTTAAAATCCTACTGTAGATGCACGAGCCCTTCCCGTGTGCCACAAATGACTCATGGAGAAAATGAATCCTAGAACAAATTGTTCAGTCATTCCTACAGGGAGATACAGACACATTTCATAGTATCTTGTGCTTGCACCAGTGGATCACTTTAAATTGCATCCTTTTAGTATATATGCACTAATAGTCTACTAATATAATAAATTCATCTCAAATACATACTAAAAGGACACTTATTTGAAAGAGTTTGTTGGTTCTGGGTTCAATACTTTTGGTGCATGCCTGCTTACAGATGCTTGATGCTGTTACCTTCAGGAAATAGGTATATCAAGACAATTTTTTTGATGGATTTATTTCATTCCTATTCCAAGAAATCTGAAGTTGAACTAGAAAATGACTCGTGCAAAATTCTAGAGTGCAGAAACAAAGTGAAGAATGATAAATCGTCAACTCAAACCGATAAGATTTAACAGGTTTGACTTAAACAAATACACATATTCCGGGTATAGGGTTTAGAGTATTTGCTATGCTGGACTACACATAACTAGACAAGATAAATGACAAATATTTGGAGTGCTTCATTTTCTTATCCAGTGATCGCATAATCAACAAGTCCTCGGAAAGTTACTAAAGAGAGTATTCATTCAAGAAAATCACATCAAAAATAACTACTCTGTCACCATTATAAAGTTGCAACTAATAATCAAAATAAATATCAGTTCACAAAACTAAGTTAAGATCAAAATTCACTTACTGATAGAATCATATCTGTTTCTTCTGAATTCAATTGCAACTTCACAACTTGTGATGCTCTAGGTGACTCAGTATCCTTGAAGTTTAAATTAGCCAACCTGAAAGAATTCAAAGAGTATCCCAACATATCCACCCCTCGAGCCCAAAAAGGCTTATTAGTCTTTCCACTAGGAATGTAATTCTCAATTCCTAAACTAAATTCATTTTCTACCCTTTCGACCGCTACCGCGACCGCCTCCTCACCAATCGCCCCCAACAATCCCATACGCAATGCCGTCAGTGATGTCCTGTCACATGCTGAAGTGTGCAGCCTGAGGGCCAAAACCCACCTTTCATTTTCTAAAGTGTACAAACTAGCAAAGAAAACCGCAGTGTCCAATGAAGGATCAAGATTTTGCCACGAATTCTTGTTCAGCTCATGTTCAAGAATAAGATGGAATGGAGAAATGGACTGACTGTTGAGGTGACTACCGTAGGATTGAAGAATCTGAGCCGTTGATGGGAGATCGAAGGGTTGGATTTGAAGCTGGGGAGTTGGGGATATGATGTAGGAGAAAGCACTGGAAGTGGGATCAAAGTGGAGTTGGGAATTAAGGATAGCATGAGCAGTTTGGAGTTTGTGAAGCGCACTTTGCAAAAGTGGGATATTTGGAGGCTTTGAAAGGAGCAGGGCCAAAACTGTGATGCCAGTGCCACCAGGCACCGCCTTGCACCAGCTGTACTCGGTACCGCCGACCGGCCGGATCTTGTGCCCCGCCGCCTCAACTGGTGGTGCTTTGGATGTTTCTTGGTCGGACATAGTTTCAAGAATGTTAGTTGCTGTGTTTGATGAAATGTGATCAAAAACCGATATGGCAAATGGGGTTTCACGTTTTATAGGCAAAGCTTTTGATAAAAATGCGCAATTAAAAAATTAGCAAAAAATGTATTAACTTCTCAATTTATCCCAATCAAGCAATTAAGATAAGGTTTTTTGTTCAGTGATGTATATAATTGAGAAACGTACTATGAAAGGGATAGAGTTAGTTGCGTGTTAATTATTATTTGAATCTTGCTATGTACATCAAAATTTACTAATTGCCAAACCACATTTTATCATTTCTCAATTTAAATTTACATCCAATATTCTCCCTCCACATTATATTATGTAATTCATTATGTACAATTTTTATGTACAAACAGCAAAAAATCCTTATCATTTATTGTTGACGCTCACCAAATCAATATGATCCCCACACATTCTATCTCATTATTTAGTCCCTGTTTGGCCCCCATTATTTTGCATTTTTTATTGTTGAAAATTTTTGGAATAGTGATTGATGGGAGAATGTATGTTGAAAAAGTAATGAAAAATTTTAGATTTGTGTGTAATATTATTTTATTTGATGAATATGTGGTTGTAATGAAGAGAGAAAAATTAATGTAATGTAATGTAATTTAATGGGAGTCAATCAAGGGCTTATTCAATGGGAATGATACTCTTCTCTAGTTTTTAACAAATAAAAAGTACATACTTATATGCAGAAAAATGTTATTCATCATCAGTGTGAATGCATACCCAGTCTATGTGGATGTAAATAATTGGTTAAATGATATGTGAAATTAAATGACTTACTTAATTTCACCTATCATTTAATGCCACATAAACGTCACATAGACTGAAGATGCATTCCCAATGGGAATGAATAACATTTCTCATAATATGCATGTTTGAGATGGATTAAATAATTACGATCACAGTCATTAATTAATCTTACCCATATATTTATTTACAACTTTTCAATCAAATATTTCATCAATTTTTCTGAAAATCCCTAAAAATTCGTGTCAAATAAATCAGTTACTAGATAAGCAATAAACACAACCGAAGTAAAATAGAGCTCATTAAAACTTGAAACTCACAAGTCCATGACAAACTATCGATCTCCAGCAAGTGAATTTATAACATGATATGCCAGTGCCACACTTGAAAATCAAGTGGAAGCGAACCAGCTCAGCTCACTAAGTGGAGGAATGGCAATTTATATTGGGAACAGTAAAAACCCTCTTTAGCATTATATAGCAACGAAAAATATAACCATCCTAACGAGCATGCCAACGGATAAAAATTGAAGTAATGAAGCAAGGCTCCTTGTAACATATAGCAGAAACATAATCGCAGGCAAAAGATAATATTGGGTGTGTGCTCCATTGCACCGTAGGGTAACCCACAAATAGAATAGGAAGCATCAGCGGAGCAGGGGGAGGAGAGGGAGAAACAGATGAATACTGAGAATAATGGAAATGTTTACTGAAAGCCATCAAAATTAGAATAAAAGGCACAAGGTATTTAGATTCTAGTCCAGCAAAATCACAATCTGTAATTGTCAATTATCCAGATGATTAAATGGCGACGAAATTCATTTGAACTACATAATTTTCTGACAGAAAGAAAAAAGACAAGACTTGCAACTTGAGAGAATCTCCAAATGAAAACCCACAAGTACACCTGAAGAGAGGACAAATTACAGCCTCCTTCCCCTTCTGCCACCCTTTCTCCGAGTGCTGTCGGTGGGAATTGGAGTCACATCCTCTGGAAGAAGATCAAATAAGTAATTACCATTGAAATTGATTCAACGCATTAACAAAAATTTACATATCATTTTTTACATAAATAAACAATAATGTTCAAATTAAAAGAGGAATCAATGTGCAGCATTTGATCATTAGTACAAGTAAATCAATGTTAGATATCTACTTTTCCATCCATAAAGGAGACTGCCCATGCAAATGTGAATATATAAACAAATTCACCATTTTGAATAAATTGCATAAATATTGCTCCACAGATTTAATGGAGTGATTGCAAATATGACGTAGGATTAGTTCAAATCATAGTGCTTACCTATGCGACCAATCTTCATGCCTGAACGTGCAAGGGCTCTAAGTGCAGACTGAGCACCAGGACCAGGGGTCTTAGTTTTGTTCCCGCCAGTTGCTCGAAGCTTAATATGAAGGGCATTTATTCCAAGCTCCTGCAAAATTCCAAGCAGTAAAACAATTGACCATACAATCAATCAGAATTGAGAAAATCCTGTCAGTGTTTGTTACGAACATAGGAAAGAACCTAAACCTTGCAACGTTGAGAGACATCCTGTGCTGCAAGCATAGCTGCATATGGGGAAGACTCATCCCTATCAGCCTTCACCTTCATACCACCTGCAATCCCAAGGGAAAAAGATGATTAAGAACTAAAAATACATCACAGCAAAGTCTTCTATAGTTTAGGACATGGGAAGGAAAACATTGAATCTAATTGCAAAATACTTATCAACCTTACAACTACATGGCTAATCGTTCAAGAACACATGTACTTGGCGACAAAACTCAAAGGGTCTTAGTAGCTCTAATGAACATTAGCAGCCATGACCCACGACTCTTATTCCAACTCTTGAAAAACATATCACCCAGGGGACATTTTAAGAGAAACATAATCAAAACTAATCAACATGTAGATTTACTGCAAAAGCAATCAAAAAGCATAGTATTGAAACCAAAAGCATTGACCCTCTACCTGTAATACGAACCATGGTTTCCCTCCCAGATAAATCAGTCACGTGCTGCAGGCACAAAGCAAAAGTGAATATTACTCAATAGGTTCCATCAAGCAGTTAACAGCTTCCTAAATATGAAAGGTAGACATCAAACAGGAATTGCAAACTGTAATACTCACAATGAAAGTGTCATTGAATGAAGCAAAGATGTGGGCCACACCAAACACTATTTCACCATCCCTAGTGGCAGGTCCGAGAGTGACATTCTCTTCCTTGGGCTCTCTGGTCCTTCTCTTTGACTATTACAAATAATTGGGTTTTAACAAAATGAAATGAAACTCCAAAACTCATCACTTAACATCATAAAATCCAGTTTGTCAAACTTGTTTAAAAGATCCATCCATTGTATCAATTTACTTATTTAAGATGATGAAAATATATTAATAGCTCGTGATCAGTATATCTTAGAAAAGTTGAGAAGATAACAGGAAATTGGGTCCTGTTAAAAAATAAGAAAAACAAGATCACATTGTTTCCAGCGCGCACACAATAAAAAATAAATTTAAAAAAAAAAATCTATAATTTTCAATTTAATAAGATACTAAGGTTTTGATAGGGAATAATGTTCGTGACCTGTACTTATTCCACAAAAGGGTATTGGTAAATACTACATAATTCTCATAAAAAATTCAAGGCTCCCACAAATTAAGAGAAATAATAGCGCCAAAATTATGTCCTGGCAAGAGTCTATGAAAAGGAATTTCACTGTTTATGAGCTCAATAGTGTAACTCATAAAATAATTGGATCAACCAGAATGGGCTCCCTACCTATAATAAATATTTCTCCAATAAATCAAATCAACATCAAACAAATTTACAGAAGCTGGTAATAAATGCAAAATCAAATAAACTTCCACAACTATTAATTGATGGTTATTTTTTCGCATCCTAAAAAATTAAACACCAGAAAAATGTTCGGGTTTATACACAATCAGAAGACTCTCCACCTATAATATAAATGTAGATAAGGAAAATAGCATAAAAGAAAAAAGGCGGAATCTAAGGATCTCACCATTGCTACGGTTTACGGCAATTGAGTAATTAGCTGCTTCTGAAGCTTCAAAAACCCCGGTAATGGAAGAGACGGCGTTTACGCCTCGAAATATATATAGCTAGGGTTTTGGACCAGAAGAGGTTTTGATTTACCTTAAATGCCCCTTCATTTTCTTCAAATTGCGGATACGTCCCCCAAAAAAAAATAGAAGACGAAGAAGAATCAGGGAATGACCATACAAACCCCAAATATCTGAAATTTTCACTTTAGCCCATAATTATAAAATCATCTCAAATAAATCCGATTCTATGAAAAAATGACAGCTGTGGGATTTGAACCCACGCCCTTTCGGACCAGAGCCTAAATCTGGCGCCTTAGACCACTCGGCCAAACTGTCAAGTTGGAAACGAAAGTAAAAATAATAAATAAATATCTGTACGTGACTAAGCTGTACTTGTTCTTTATGGTACTTCATTTTTTGTTATTTGTTAAAGATTAAAATGCATCCCAAATATATATGAATTTTTATTTAGCCCCTTTGTGGATATTATTTGGCAAAAATTTTGTTCTGAATAGTGAATTTGTTGAGATTATATAGTTAAAAAGTAAGAAAAATTTTTAAATTTACATGCAAAATATTTTATTAAATGAATGTTTAGTTGAAAATAAGTATATAAAATAAAAAGTTTTGAAATAATGATTGTCGAACAGGGGTTTAATATTGTGTGATATCA